TTAATAATGTAACAATACATTGAAAATATGTTATCGAAACAAAACACACACTCCAAATTTAAATAACAGGTTTAATGTCCTATTTTTTAGTATTAAAACATTCCCAGGAATTTTTTTAGACATAACCTAAGACAGAAAATAGTACTGATAAAATGTTACTGATTAGAATAAGGATAAAAGAAATTATAAAAATAATGAAGTATTCGTTTTAATTGAATAATTAATTATTGCAAACAAACACCATCTAAAATCATCCTATTCTTAATGGAAAATGAACTAATTCTGATTTCCTACAGTTTGAAACAAAAGCACTCACATACGGCAGGACAATCTCAAGGCATATATATTTTAATTTAATATCAATTCCTTATCTTAGCCCACGAAATACCTGTATTTTAAAGTAACGAAGAATAACAGACGAAAAACATTAATATAAAAAATCAATACCGATTCTATTTTCTACATAGAAATTATTTATCTTCATCAATCGAAATCAAACTACAGCTTTGAAAAAATGACATGTTTAAAAACAACCAGCCTGTAATCAACAATATATATATATATATATATATATATATATATATATATATATATATATATATATATATATATATATATATATATATATATATATATAATTTTATACACACGATGGAGAAAGAAAACTTTTTTTCTGAAATAACACATAAACAATGACAAGAACATGAGAGAAAGAAAGCGAAGTATTTAACCTACAAAATTATCGATTTTTGATCATGAATGGCTACTGACAGGTCTGCCAATGCAATACAACTTGTAAACCAAAATTTCCGATCGCCATCAAGCATCTCGATATAGTACATAAGGACAAGAAGAAGAAATGAAATAAAAAAAATCCTGACATACTGTGATCAATGGTAAAAGCCGTGGCAACCAGTACAAAAATCGATATATGGCTAAGCCCTAAAAAAAATACATGACGGCTGAAGGCCGGAATACATATAACGGTGTTACAAGAAACGAATGGCAAGCACGTGTTGGGGGAGGGTGGAATTGGGTCCAATGTAAGGGGCAGTAAAGGAGGGGAAAATAGATATGCCTCATGAGAAGGTTTAAGAAAATGCTCTAAAAACTTGAGAACTTGGGGAATTATGAGAAATACGAGGGCAAACAAAGCTGCAAGTGCAGAAAAAGTAATTACCGTTCAAAATAAAGAAGTAGAAACTTCATACATTTATTCGAAGTTTTATTTTCCGTCTAAAGATAGAGGTATTTTTTTAAAAAAAATGTTGGGATCTTAACAAACGTGAAGCTTTAACTAAAGGTACACAGAGTTATGTTCAATAAATAGCTGTAAATTAATGGTTATATGAAAAAAATTCTGTGATTTGTGGTACATATATAATGAGAGCAAACTTTATTAAGAGTTTAAATAATAATATTTTCATTATGTTTCTTTCTTCATTTAAATGTAGTCGCGTGACCGAGTAGTCATGGTTGTGAACTCAAAGCCACCATTGCCCAGTCGCAGGCTCGAAATCTAATACCACTGAAGACCCGCCGTGTAGAGGGGGCTGATGCAAGCTAAATCTATCGAAGCTCTAAGTTCTCCCATTGGCATGGAGTGGAAGTTTGGAGAGGGGGTGCCAGCTCAGGTGTCGCCTTTGTCACATGATCGAGATTCAAAATCACGAGGTAAGTCGTCAATAGCCCTCGTGTTGCTTCAGAGTACGATGTAAATTAAAATTAAATCAAATTCTTCATTTAAGTAAGAAATAATTCGCTAAAGAGAAAAAATTAGACAAAATAATCTGAGTTTTTTAATGGATTTCCATCAAAGTACACATATAAGAGGTGTCTCAAGAACTTTTCAAGCGGTTTAAAATTGAATGTATAAGAGAGAGAGAGAGAGAGAGAGAGAGATTTAGGTTTATTAATACCTAAAACAAAACTTTTTTTCCCTTTTGATAATTAAAATCGTAATTCTCACTTTAAAATTGTTAGTTAAAAATGAGGCCATTTACAAAGCATGCACGACTACTTTACAATGTACTTTATGTGAAGCACAATCCTTTTAAGTGGCTTAAGAAATGAGAGCCAAGAACATTAATATGTGAGTGAACGATTTCCTTATTTAAATCTAGTTAAGCTAATTTACATATTTAATTATATTTCTTTGTAATTTCTCATTTGAAAATGTAGTTCCCCCATGACATTTTCATGAACGGACAGTTATATTCTTTTAGCCAACAGTGTTCTTTAAAGTAAGATTAATGCAGTAGTTAAAGTTATAAGAAAAAATATAAGAAACAAACGCCAAAAAGATTAAATTTACATTAATTCATTTCACTTTACAACTCTTTACGAATAAACCAAGCAAACAATTGTCCACAAACAAAGCCAAATACTCCAACAAGCTGCGATGAACAGACTGCAGTTTTTGAGAAATAACAACAAAAAAGGTACTTAAACTAAAAAGATAAAAGTATTTATTATTAAATTGTAACATTTAACTAATAAATATTTTAAATGCATTATTTAAAGCAGTGACTCAGAGCTCCATTCATTGTTTTGCTAATTATACATTCAGAACATTGCATATTTAAGCAAATGCAATTTATAATGTTAGTTATTCATAAAAAAATAGTTATATCTTTTATGCATAACCTATAATACCAAGTAAAACAAGCACAACAATGCGAAGTACATGAGATTATCTTCCTTCTTTTGAGAGAATAACATATTTACTAATCATTAATATTTAATTAATTAGAAGAACTTAACGAGGACGGCAGGATGGCTCAGTGAAGGAAAATGGTGCTAAGATTTGTTTGAAAATCAAATTGTTTTCCATTTTTAAACAAATACATTCTGTATACGCTACAATAGATTCTTAATATTAATATTAGCAAAATAATACATTTGAAAATAAAACAAATATATTTGTTAATTTAGTAAAATAGCCGCCCACATCCGGCATAGTGGTTAGTGACGTTGAGTGTTGCGTCGTAGGGCCTGGTTTCGAAACCCGGAGAAGGCATGGGTGTTTGTAAATGTATCATGCCTTTGCGGCATGGGGGTACTCTAAATAGCCGTCGAGCTGCAAGTCCTCTCGTGAAGTTGGTGGAAGAGAGGTGAGAGATCTCTGACCACCCACAGGGTGTTCTCTCTCTAAATTGGGGTGGAACCGAACCAAAAATCGTAATATCACCGCTATGGTGCTCAAAGTTTCTGCTGAAGACAGGCGTACTACTATTCCCTTGCCACGATGAATTTCGTAGGCCTTGATCTGATGATATTGTCGATCAAGCGGCATAAGTAACAACACATTGCCGAAAAAAAACTTCACAACAAGCTAATTATATGAAAAAATATAATTGAAAGGGACATGTGCTAAAAAAACATATTCTTGTGATTATTCAGTTGTGCGAAACAAAGTAACACTGGTAAATCGGATAAATGAATTCTTTTTTGATAAATAAAAATTTCATTGGATCATAATTTTTTTTAAAAGTATTTATATAACAATTTTTTGTTTGTTTGTAGCGAGGATATCTTTTTAGTTTTCTCTCTTATATGAGTTTTATATCACTATACCGGCCGCGGTAGCCGAGTGGTATAGGTATCGGACTGTGGCTTGCTTTGTCACAGGTTCGAGCCCAGTACCACTAAAGACCCGCCGTGTAGGGCAGCGATGCACGTTAAATCTGTCGAGAGCTGAAACGTCCTCCCGTTGGTGTGGTGTGGTAGTTAGGAGAGGGGGTGCCAGCTCAGGTGTCGTCCACGTCACTTGACCATGGTTCAAAATTACGTGGTCCGTCGCCAAAAGCCCTCGTGTAGCTGAGCAGTGCGACGTTAATATTCAATCAATCAATCAATTTATATCACTATAGTTCATTAACTTCTAAAATAGAATTTTTCTGTTATGGAGTTCAGTTATTTGCAGAATTAAGCAGAGAACAGTTTCAAGAGGTCCTTTTTAAAATTTTATTCAAATCTGATCATCAGTTCGAAAAAAAACTGTTACAGGGTCTTATACTACAATTTTTCCGTGTAAAATATTTATTTACACTGTTTTGCCTGTTCTTAAGTTCCGCATAATGAGTGAATCAATAATTATCATTTATAAATTAGTATATAGACCCTTAAACTCTACAATTTTCCGAATATAAGATTTAGTTTTGAATATTTCCCGAATCATTGGATTATTTTGCTCGAAATTTCGGATTCAGGGATTTCATGACATAGAAAAAAATAAAAAAGATTTTAGTGCGATTGAATTCCTTTTTATCGTCATGTTATTTATTTACATTTTTCTAGTAATGTTATTCTTTTAACTGTGCTTATGTTTTTAGAATTAGAAAAATAAATTATCTACGTTTTGGTATAAAAAGCTTTGAAAAGTGTTGAATTAATTATTTTTTTATCGTCCAATTTTTGAGACACACATTCAAGACTATGCGATCAATTTTTGAAGCCTCTGTACATCCAAGGTGTAATTCAAAAAGTATGAAGCAGAGTAGTAAGGTAATGTCAAGGTAGTAAATCAGGAATGCGGGGGGGAAAATTATACTTCCTAATGAGAAAATTCTACTTCAGAAATTAACAAATATTTTAATTAAGCTAATAACATCCCAATTTAGTTCCTTTTAAATCAAATTGATAACAATTTTGTTCGATTGCGAAAAAAATTTGCAAAAGTTATTATGGGCCAATTTTTGATGGTTACATAATTTGGATAAAAAGCAAAAGTCTAAATATCTTTCAAAATTAAAATGCATGTTGAAACAAGTAATATAAAATTTTTTTAAGTCAATTCCTACTTAGGTCAACAAAGAAAAACATAATTTTAATTATTTTTTATTAAATAATTACAATTAATATAAATGTGCATATACATATGACAGAATCACAATATTAAGTGGCAAAATAGAAATTGATTTTTATATATGGTGATGGACTATTTTATTTTTGTTTATTACTATTTATTCATTCATAAAGCACATTCTCAGAAATTAGGCCATCCCAGGTAGGATTCGAACCCACGCCATTTGGATTAAAAGTCCAACACGCAAACCATCGCGTAACAGGGACACACCGTAAGATTTTCCTTTTTATATATGGTGTTAGACTATTATTTTTTGTTACTATTTATTCATTAATTAAACATAATTAATGAACTAATATTTGAAAAAACTGTATTAACATCAAGTGCCATCTACTACAAGTTTAAAAAAATATATTTGAACTTGAGTGGATGAACAAAAAGTATTGTTGTTGTTACCAATGCCACCTGATCAGCAAAGGCCAGATCGAGGCCCACAAAATTCATCATGACATAGGGCTAAGTGAAGCCTGTCGTTAGCCGTAGCTTTGAGCACCATATGAGCACCATACAGGTGACAGTACGATTTGGCTCGGTTCCACCCCAATTTAGAGGGAGAACACTCTGGGGGATGTCAGAGGCCTCCCACCTCTCTTCCCCTTCCACCAACCACACGAGAGGACTTGTGGCTCGACGGCTATTTAGAGTACCCCCATGCCGCGAAGGCACTATACATTTACAAACATCCATGTCTTCTCCGGGATTCGAACCCAGTCCCTACGGCACATCAGTAGGCATCGCTAACCACTATATCGCATGGGCGACACAAAAAGTATTTTATTAACGATTGAAAATTTTAACAAGTTATATATATATATACATAGGGAGAGTGTGAACTAATAGTAGGAATTGGGAAAAAATACCATTTTATAAACTATTCAACAAGAGTGAAAAAATTAGAACAATTTTTAAGAAGTGTTAAGCTAAAGTCTTTTCTTTGTAACAAGTCATCTATAAAAGCAACGATGAATATTACCTTATTACTACAGGGTAGAAAAGCCGTCAAATGTAAGTCATGCGAAATGAATGCACAAACTGATTTGCAAACGTAAGCACTTAAAAAATAATGATAAAAATAATGAAGATAAAAATAATGTATTCTCATATTTTCAAAATAAATACAGTGATCAAATAAACACGGAAAATATATACAATATGAATGAAAAATCAGGATAATGTTGTTTATGGCAAATAAAATGGTCGGAGAATGTAGAATGAGAAGAAAAATTTCTTATTTATGTTTATTATTCATTCTTATATCGGATCGAAGAACAGCAACAAAAACAGTATAAGTCAAAATGTCATTGAATAAAATTTCTCATCCGCATAAATATCTAAAATTGCATAGTCAAAATCTCAATTTCTTAGGAAATTACAATTATAACCCTAATAAATTTTCTTTTCAATATAGGACTAGATAAATCCCAGTAGGAAATATTTGTGTATCTGCAAGATTAAGTAAAGAAAAAGCTACAGCAATCGTTTCTTGGATTAATTCACCTCAAATCTTTTATTTGTACAGATATCTTCTCTTCTTAGTCGGAAATTCTTCCCGTTTGCTCTCCTTATCTTTCTATTAACTGAGAAGATGCTATGTGTGGTAAAAATAAAGAGAAAAAGTATCCGTATATATATAGATATATACCATTCTACCTTTTTTATATGTGTCTAAAAAGCATAATAATTTCACTAGACAACATTCGCAATTATAAAAGAAATAGCTTCTAACACACACATTGCGTTAGTTCTCAGAAGGTGAAAAAAAACGGATTTTTTTTTTAGTTATTTATTTTCTTCTAATGTTGGTTAATATAATTCTTTAGAAAAGAATGAGTGTTATTTACCGAAACAGAAATAAGTTCTGAAGAAATGTGATTTAAGTGATAGAATCGAGTTTAATTTCGTTAATAAAAAGCCTTGAATATCTTAAAATGTAACAGGTAATTAACTACTTTTTTGCCGGCTGGGTGACGTAGTTGGTTAGGCGCTGACTTTCTCCGACCACGTTTGCTGATTCGATTCCAGCCCAAGTCGATGGTTTTTTTAAGATGCAAAAAAATCGACATCGTCCATGTCGTATGGTTATGCGGCATGTTAAAGATTTCTAGAGTGCCGGTTTGGCTTAGATGCTCTCGACAAAATTAAATTCCACGCCTAATATCGCATCTTCAGAGCACAGGTATCTCTCTCTGGGAAGGAAACTTGGCTCCAAAATTGCACTGTGGCATTTGGTATAAATCCATATGGTGTCACTGTAAAAAGTGATATCAGTTTCCGGGGAATGTGCAAGGCCTTTAATGATCATCAGTGGCGCACACAAGGGGGGGGGGTCCCAAAGCCCTTGATTTTTTCAGACTGATTATAATTCTATGTATATAATACGTGAAATTTAATTAAGTATTTGTTATTAATGATTAATTTTATTAATTAATGCTAATTACTTATTCAATAATTAGTTTTTTACTGTATTTTGTTCCCGAAAATCAACAAAATCAAAAAGGGGCATGATACAAGAATGGTGAACTTTCGATCCCGGATCCCCCCTCCCCATTGAAAATTTTTTGTGTGCGCTACTGATGATCATTATATAATAATCCACAGCCCCATTTGAAAGAAATGAAAAAAATATTAACATTTATGATAAGAAGAAATGTAATTAATAAATTTTATTATTTTTCATTTTTAACTTAATGTATGCATCTATAGCTTTTTAAATAAAATACGTCAAAGAATAATCCAAAGAGTAATCAAGGAATGAAATGTCTTCCCTGCTGTGTTTCTTTGATTTATTTTATTATTTATTTAACACTAAAAGAAAATAATTCTTAAGCTATTCTTGAAGCAAAATACGATACACACAAATCAAAAATGAAATTAACTCCAACAAAATATTATTCAACTCCATTACATCTGTACCAACAAACTAGAAAGATACAAAATTTATAAATCCAGAAAAGTTTTTCAATAAAAATTTCCATAATAATTTTCAAGCCTAATCATTGAAGTGGTGTCATTCTAGATTATATAATCATAAAATAAGTAGCAGCTACTATTCAACTAAGAAACCAATTCACAGATACTTAATAAATGTGACTTCATTTGCTTAAGACAATATTTAAAAATGCAAATTTTATGTAATCGACAAAGACGATTTAAAATCAACTCAATTTTTATGCAAATTTATAAGACTTTTACTAACGTCTTTCTCTGAGTATATTCTGTTGAAAATCTAAAATAAAATTCTCGAAACAAATTTTCAAAATTTTATCTACTAATACCAAGCAGCATATTCTTTCAAAGAAAAAAAAGAATCGTGTGGTATAGCAGACAACTATATATAATTTACCCAAAGGTTATTATAAACTAGTAAAATTTATTTTATTAGGTAATCGGTATTTTTTAAGGGAAAAATTGCTACCAAGTGCTGAGCGCGATCCGAATATGTACTCAATAATTATATTAGAAGGGGGGAATTTAATAAAGAAAAATACTTATAACGTTACCACGCTCGGGTTATGGGTCATTAACAAAATACACAACCCGGTTAACTCGTTTTATTTAAAAGCGGCAAAGGTTAATTCCATTAGCGAACGCAAGAAGTTAATTAACGATAATGTGCGGCGAAAAAATTTCCAAGAAATCTGAAGAATTTCATATCTTAAAGGGAAGGAAAAAATCCCGTAAATCCCACAGATTTCGAAAAATCTTTCCATCCCAAAGAAAAACGATGGAGAGCCACGAAAAGGCAATAAATAGAGAAAAGATAGGGGGCAAAGGAATAGAATAGAGTTGTGCACCCTCCCGAACAGAAAAGACACCATCAAAAAACATGAAGGGGGAAAATCCTACGGGAGCCGAACCCGTCACCGGCTGTGTTTTCCAATTATCCCGTCGAGGTGCCAGAAAGTGACGATCTAATGCATCACGTCGAGAAGTGCAAGAAATGTCACGGATGTCGGTTGGGTTGGCCAGTGCAGCCACTTACGGCAACATCGTAATAGAACTTGGCGGAGTGGGCTGTGAGAATCCTGTAAAAGGGTTTCACCAACTGGGATTGGTAGTAGAAACTTTCTAAGGTTGGCTTATTCCCGAAGGTGTTTCTGCGTCACAAACGTGACAATGGTTGCTGGCGCCAAAGATTGATAGATCGGAATGAAAACAAGGAAGCCCCAATAATGGTAATTTACTGGTTTTGTTTTTGTTTTAGTTCTTTGTAATTAGAATACCCAAAGTGACTGGCGGAGCAGAAGTAATGGTGACAATAACAAAGGCGGACTTGATTGAGTTTGTGATCTGCTAGATTGGGTCTAGGTAATTTAGTTTCGGTTCCTTGTTATCCAATCTGTGATGGATGATGAAGAAGAATTTTCAATGCTTTGATAAAAAAAAGACTTAGTTATTGCGTATTCATATAAAATTATACGCACTTAAAAATAAACTACTTTTCTTAGTAAAAATAATATATATATTTTGCATGATATTTAAACTGTTAATTAACTCTTTATGTTTATTTCTCTATTTCTCTCAGAATAAAAACCTGTGTGTACAACAAATCTCTTTTTTACATCAACACTTTATTATAGACATTTTTCTGCATTTATCAGACTTCCATCATCTTATTTATTCTTATAGAATATTGATGTAGAGATCGCTATATGACATGAAAGACAGATTTACAAAATGAAACTAACTGAATTTTTTTGTTTAAAAATATTTACACTATTCAATAGCTTAAGTAATGGTCATAATAGTATTTTCTGATAACAAATGAATTACTAAGTAAAATAATTGCTAATTAGGACACAAAGAATTTTTCCGGTCGATGTTTCAAAAATAGACATTAAGGAACCAAATTTTTAATTTCGCTTCAAATTTTATGTATATAAAAGGCTAATAAATTATAATTAAGACGCAGAAAATTGCTTAGAATTTTACTAGAATAAATACTTCAAAATTCCCCCTATCAGTCAATTAAATGGTCCAAAATGGAAATAATTAAAATAAAGAATGTAAACACTCACAAACATGAAAAAGGAAAATGAAGTATTTTCTCCTCCAGCAACGAAATCAATTTTCGTTTTTCAATCTCAATTACTTTAATAATCAAAATCAGCTAAATGTACTTCTACTTATAAAAAATATTTTGAAATCTGACGTTATGTGTATAAATAAGAGAATGAATTAAAAATCACACATACATTGAAAAATA